GTCTTATAGCAAAAATTCAAACATGAAAGCTTTAATAACGTGCACAGAGAAAGCAAATTTAAAATATACCTATAGGAGAACTTAAAATTTTTTATTTTTCTTACACGAAATGAAAGCTTTTAACAATGACGATGCTTACTTTTTCTTTCGTTGTATGTATGTTTTTTTTTCTTACTGAATATTTAGTTGCATGTCTTCAATGTTAATTCAATGCAAGAATTTTGAATTATATTGTTCTTGCTATTTTCTTCTTAGATTATTTTAGTTAAAAGAAATAAAACGAAGGATATTATCACAAGATGTTTACGCATGTTTGACAACAGAAATATCCAACATGGAAAGAACAACTAGTTTTTTTTCTATGATTAGTCTGTGTCATAGCGTAACCCTTCCAGTTGGACGTAGCTATTTGACAACATATAAGATGTGAGGGTATGGTATTTTTGGAACAGCCAACCGAAAAAAGTTAAGATATACCCGAAAAAGATTATGAAATAGTTTATTTGATATTGAGATAGATTTGATATCTACAGACAACTCGAACTATGTACATCTTGAATGTGTTTGAGTTTAAATAAATGCTTGGCCAACTACAAAATTGTTTCTGTCCTTATCTGAGCGCTCATCAAGTGGCATTACTTTACATTTTCTCTATTTAGATAAATAGTCCATTTGATAGTAGTTAATAATATTGAAATTACTTGTTTTATATTTGGCCGCAACAATGAGAAATATAACCATAATAAATTATTTTAAAACATCGGAAATTTTATTTCGATTCTATAAAATGGATTATTATCAAGTCACAATAGACATTTTTCTAATTTTATATAAAAATCATAAATAAAATATATAATATAATAGAAATTTTCATGAATAAAAATCAAACAACAATGATCGATTTGGTGCCCATAAAAACACAGTTAAGACATGTTTACAAGCCAGTACTATGTGTAAAATATGAAACTTCTTCAATAGAATCAATAAATCTTTTTTTTTAAGGATTCAAGAGTTCATTCATGGTAGGAATGCACGAAATCCAACTCCAATCAAATTCAATTCCAATTCTAGAGTTGGATTAGATGTACCATTTATTCACAATAATTAAATCCGGGATAACCATTAGATTATTGATAGACAATTCTAGATCTTTTGAAAAATCAACATTACGCTCTGAGAAAGTATTTCGATTTTACTCAAAAATGTTTAAAACAGATTGTAAGCATATCTGATAAGTTCCTTGAGCAAGGGAGAAAGTTTACGTGATGGTTTACAGTTCTCTATATTCTATAATAATCTATACCAAAAAAAATCAAATGAGGAAGAATGGATATTTTATTTCGAAGTAAAAAAAGAAAATGAAAAATTTTTCTTTAAAAGAACAACTAAAAGAGCAGGTAGATGAATAGAGAAATAATAGGATTCGGACGAGGATAACAAGTTTGAATAAGGGACCGAAAAATAGCTATATATATACTAAATGTCTGAAAAACTACTTCCTAAGAAGAAATCGAAATATCTTCACAAGATGATGTTCAAATGAACTGACATTTTACCAATGATAGAGGCGTATACGAAGTTTATATCTATAACGATACACCAAGAGAAACTGTATATTTAGAATCAATTTTGATCTAAAGACAAAAATTATATTTATTTGCGTACATTGGGAAAACCGGTATATAGAATGACGGAAAGTTGCTTGGTCAAGTAAAAACAGTTAAATATCTTCATTACAATCCGAGCAAACAAGCTGACACTTTTGTCAATAGTAGAGGAGTGTAGAAGTTGTATATTCGTGAAGGCATGCTAAAAGTGCGTTTTTTTTCTGTGTGAGAAAAAGTAATATTTTCGTTTTGAGGCTGATAGTGGTACTTAATTAAGGATCTTTCTATGTATATCTTTATGAATTTAAGTTTTGAATGTATCTTTGTCATTAATAAAAATGTCAGCTTGATTTGTCGCCATCTAGTGGAGAAACATCGATTTTCATTAGAAAATGGCTTTAGGAACATTCAGTACAATAATCTAACAAGACGTTAGTGCAAACTGTTGAGTCTGTTAAGTTCAGCCGAAGTCAGTTGACTTTCTACTTGTTGTCTTTGTTGTTCTATGTTTCGACCATTTGTTCGCAATGAATAGGCGGTTTTAAATGGATCCCTTTCATACATGATACTGTTATAGTTGTAGCTAACGTCAGATTCAGTTTTTTGCCATATATTTTTGATTATACCATATACAAATTGGAAACATCCGCATACCATGTTCCACGCTATTGTAAAAAATGGCATTCCAGATATCGCCCATGTCATCCACATTTTTCCTGAAATTATACCAAAATTTCAATTAACATCGAATTAATAGCAAGATAGTCTTTTTTGTTCACAAAGCGACTCATTTGAAAGAAGAATGGACGAAACTCTTATGAAATATACATTATTACTCACCGTGTCAGTGTTTTAATTTTACAGGTGATTTAAATAAAGGATTTCAAATTGTTCTATTGAATGGTTATTATTTTGGAGTTGCGCTTAAAATATAAAGCGAAATTGGAAAAAACAAACGATTCATTCTTCCTTTTTTTTTTATTTACATGAATTGCTCGCAGAGGGAATGTTCTTTTTATATTGGAATTAAGTAAACAATGAATATCGATTATGTTGGAAAGAGAAAAAGAAAAATATTTCTTGCTTTAGTTTCCATGGTTAAACTTTCATCAATAACATAGAATGTTATGTAAATTGTTTTCAGTGGTAGTAGACACCTACGTCTCAAAACAAGTGAAGAAAAGAAGTTACTCGGTATTTTGCTCTTTCAGCTCGTCATATAAATAGTGCTGACAAACAGTAAACTTTTTATTCGGCGTCTTCAAATCCTTCATTTTGCAGCTACTACAAAATAAAACCATCGAAATAGTAAGTAGCAACGAATATTATAGAAGAATTTCCTAAAAGCTTGAGTTTGGCCTACAGATCCGATCGAACATGATTGAATCCGGTGTCGGATCTTGTTAGAATTTGACGAATTTCATACAAAAACCGACTGAAATAAAAATGTATTTTGTCGGATTTCTAACAAATAGATTTCGGACAGGATTGCGTTGTAGAGGACCCGGGCATTTCCTTTCGAAACCAACTATCGGATTCGCTTATAAAAAAATACTGGAATAGGAAGATTTGCACCTGAGATCCCAAAGGATTCAATTAGTCTCAGAGGTGTCCATGATGGCTAGTACTCTGCCGCTGTTGTGCCCCAATCAGTAAAAAAATTTGACTTTAACCGCTGCGGGTCCCAGATTTTCGGAAACGTTGCCGCTACCACGCTAGTACCGCGACGTCATAACTACACTAATAACAAAAAGGTGCCATACTGAACTTTAAAATGTCTAGAATTCGTTCCGAAATTCGAAGCCTTTTAAACTTCGCTACGGCACCTTTTTTGTTTTCAGTGTAGTAAAACATACAGAAAGTCCTCTATTTCCTAATAAAAAATCGATTATGCGACACACTTTCAGTAAAAAGGCTAATTTTTTGTCGTGCCGCTATATGATTAACGAGCAATAAAAATGAATTAAATGAGAAACGAAAAATCGATTTACTTTGAATCATACTAAAACAATCTACTTAAGTACTAGAGGTTCTCTTTTTAAAAACATTGAAATCTACCGCTGTCGCGTCGTCATGTAGACTGAGTGAATATCACCAAGATTTTCTCAATATTTTCTTCTGTTAAACATCTATTCGATTCACAAGGCATCGACAGTCAATTATTACGATCAGCAAAAACATTCTGAAATGATTTTCTGAATAAAACAAAAAAAACATTCATGAGAGGATTTTTTGGATTACAAATGTATATTCATAAGTTTCACGTGATTGAAAATTCATCGCTGCAGGATTTTATCCGATTAGAAAACCACATCGTGAGGATTATTCATGGTGTGACAACTATCGAGCAACAAGCTATCCAGATTCAAGCACCACCCAATAAAGATTTTCCTGGATTTTAGAACCATGTTGACTCAACCTGAGGGTGAATAATCCACTAAACTATTTCCTCGATGACTAATCAACCTTCTCTACGAGACTTTCCTGATCTTCTTCATGAATCAAATAAGATTCTACCCAGATATCTTAAACCAATGATCCGCGGTTGTTTTCAACTACCTCATTTCAGCGAACTGGGATCGTTCCTAAATAACTCATAACAATCACAAAGGATCATTCCTTTATTATACATATGAGCGAACTAAGATAATACTTAACACATCACTATAAACCAACTTGGACCATTCCTACATCATCCCTAAAATCAACTAGGTTCATTTCCAGGTACATAACGCCGTTTAGTTGCGATGATTCCTACATTATTCGTATGAAGAACCGAGTTAATTACTAGCACATCATTATAATTTCATGAGCATCATACCTTTCAATGAAGTATACATTTGCTAAAACTTTATCTACCATCGAAATATGAATGATTGAGGATAGTAAGATGAAATGGAGTGTGCACATAGAGATCGGTTAAACTCCTATATGTATTTGTCAACAGTCAATTTATCAAGCTGCTATCTTAGGGGCATGAGCATGTGACGATGAAAACAGTTCCAGCATATAAGGCACTAGATATTCGCTGATGATGCATATTTTACACATTTTTCGTCTTATGAGCATCATGTGCGTCTTTTCTTTAAAGCACATGTTAATATTCATGAATTTAATGGAGAACTTTCATATAACAGTGGAACTTCTTCGATTGATGATCTTTGTGTATATCCCCCTGTTTCATTGACATATCATTGTGCAGATTCAAAATCAAACGAAATACTTTCCTCTGATTCTTAGAACGTGTAACAAGATAGGAATACAGTATATATTATAAGCATCTTGTGTTTGCATAGATTTTTATATCTCTGTATACTATTTCCGACCTTAGTATTGAGATCAGCATGACAGTTGTGCAAAATGATCCTAAAAGTGTGTTTCATATTCTAGATAATGAACCGCCAACGTCCATCATCAACAATGACTAGTACAGAACTAGTCCAAAAATGTAATACTCTAGTATTACGACTGGCACCATCATCAACTAGTAGCCAAAATAGCGATATTGCGAGATTAATGAAAGATGCACAACGTCGCGTTCTTGATCGCTTCCGTCTACTACTAAGAGACTATGTCGATCAAAGTACGCAAGCAATACAAGCAGATCTGTATCACGCTTTGGAGCAAGCAGATAATCGAGAGAAGTTTCTAGAAGCATTTACGCTGAAGCTATACCACAAAGCAAATCAAATAGAAGAAGAAATTGCTACCCAAAGTCTCAATCCTGATGAAGTAGAAAGATTGAAAAGAGTGCCAGGATATGAGAGAAATAATAACGGCAGAGATGTGCATAATAACAATCCAAGCTATCCTCGTACAGGCAATTACGATCAACACAATCATTATCCAGGAAATGAGGATCGATATAATCATTATCCAGCAACTCCCCATTCACACCAAAACAATCCAGACAGTGGTCATCCAAGCGAAAATCATTCAAACCAGCACTATCGCAGTTCGCAAAGCCACAATCCGAATTTTCGCTAGCATTTGACTGACTAACACATAAAACTGCTCGATTTTTTTCAAAAAGAAAGTCGAGATCGACACGACGCGTTTCTTCCTTCCTTGAGACACTCATCAGGCATCTTAGAACTCTATCATTACGTAAAAGTTCAAACACACTCAAAAGTAACAGTTTTTGAAGAACCTGAAACTAGAAGGCAATAATTCAACAGAGCAGAGAATTGCCCTCTTTCAGAGCGTCACATGACGTGCTTCTATCTTTGTTTAAAGAATCACTATTAGCTGGCTTCAAAAAAATTCAACTACATGAATCTACATTAATCCTCGCTAAAATTGAGTTGAATATTCAAACACAGATGTTTATAAGATATACAGATATTCGAAATAAGCGTCCAGTAACAAGCAGGTACATCAAGTTGAAAAGATAATAGTTTTCGACAAAATTTTCACAATAAAAAATTATGTCGATAGATGTTTTCTTGAGTTATACGTAAAACGTAGCTAAGCAATATACTTGGATCTACTCTACCGAATGAATCCAAATACAAAAGATAATCATCATTAGTATGTAAGAAAGAGAAAGACATTACGTTTCAAAACAAAACCACCATTTAAAAGTACAGAAAAGCATGAAAACTCCCTTCCGTGGCACCCGCAGTTGGGACGTTGTGTATGTGCGCGTGTGTGTGTGTGTGTGTGTGTTTAGAATGAGGGTGTGTATTATTTTTAAAGAAATTTAACCACTATCTAGATTTCGACNATCTAGATTTCGACCTTTCTCAAGGGTCTTCATCAGGTAGTTTCAGCACTGCATAAAATATTAAATTAAAAGGAAAAATTTCGAAGAAAAATTATTCTTCTTACTTTTAATATCAAAGCAAAAGCAGAGATTTCTTAAATCTAATACGGGTGTGTATTATTTTTAAAGAAATTTAACCACGATCTAGATTTCGACCTTTCTCAAGAAAAGTTAGAAGTCTTTTTGGTTTGCTAATTTTTTTATTCAAAGTGTTCTTTAAAATTCTAGAAATCGTTTTCAGCGTGTGACTAGCTACCATGATCTATAGATTTCATCCTTGCAAAAGGAATCATCAGATGGTAAATAAATTTAAAGATTTTAAAAGAAAAATCATAAATTTTATTTATAACCTATCATATATAAGAATAAATCTTAAATATATGATGATAAATTCAATTCATAGTAGTGTGACTAGCTACCATGATCTATAGATTTCATTGGAACAACCCAAATCATCAGATGGCAAATAATTCTAAAGATTTTCTAAAAGAAAAATCAGAAGATTAATTCTAGTTCTAACATATAAATAAATAAATAATTATATGTTGAAGAATTCATTTCATAGTAGTGTGACTAGCTGCCATGACCGGTTTCGTCCTTGCTTAAGGGCGGTTGTGAATATATAAGAGATTATTCCAAGCTACTTACGACTTTTCTATCGAGGCTTAATTCGATCATCATCAGGTAGGTTATAAATCAAAATACTACGTATATACGGCAACTTCAAAATTAGAACAAGCCTTAATACTGAAATGACAAATAATTATCTAATCTCGATGACTTCGTAAAATCAAAGAATTCAAACTAATTATCAATTGATTTTAAAGGTTACGTTCATTCATTCAGTTAGCTATATCTAGTTAGTAGCAGGTAATAGACGGTGTGTTTTAATTTGAATGATTCGATCACAAAATAAATGTCACTGATCATTCTTCGAAATTGATCTTTGATTAATTCTAGGCAATGTCTTAATTTTAAGATTTCTTAATGGCTTATATTTAACGTTTCTTACTTAAAAGAATAATATTTGAGCTTTCTATCGAAAAAGAGTTTTTGTTTGTTTAACTAATATATAAATGAGTATACAAATGTAAATTTGTTTATTAACTAGTTCAAAATATTCTAATATTTATTGATACGATAGTATTTTATATCAATATCACAATTATCACTATTAATATCTAATCATGGTTGATTCGCTTCATCTTCCCATAAAATAATGATGAATCAATTCATACAGTATAAATAACCATGGTTTTAGACGTGGAATTTTAATGATTGGCTTCTTATTGTATTAAAAATTATATATATAAAAAAAGCAAAAATCACCAGTTGATATCTTAAATCATAAGCATTCATGATAAAAGTAATCAAAATACTTCGAATTTACTAAATATATTGTTAAATAATAGCTTTTTCAATTAAATGAATAGCAATTCGATGAGCCATCTTGAAAAAAAATATTAAGATTCGCTTCCATTCGATCTAGAGTTAATAGTATAACCTTGCTTTCATTTATATACTGCATTAATCTTCCATGAAAACATTCATTTTATTCAAAGAACTATTTTGTTGATTCTTTAGGAGCAACAGTGTATGTTCTCATTTGATCCAGAAACTATATAGACAAACTGTCTTTATCATCAACTACCACTATGTTGGCTAATATATGTTACCTTAATTGTATATCTTTCAAAATAAGACCAGTGAAATATACCTCTAGTATCAATCTGCAATATTAGCAAGTCAGCGTTCATCCATTCTGACCCATTCCACAATCAAGAAAAAATATATATTTCATTGAACGACACTAACAGAACTCCATATGAGTTCCCATCACTAAAAAGAAAGAGATTCCTAATATCGATGTCTCTTTCAACCTATTAAAATAAAAATAATAAATACATCAAACGTATACGTTGATGAACTACAATCCTCGATAATATCATAGATTAATTTGTACTAGCTTTTCTCTTCATAATAAATTCTTTATCAGTATTAAATGCAATATCTATCGAAATGATGCTTGAACTAAAGAATTGAAGGTTTTCAACAAACTAATTCGAAAAATTTTCATATCATTTAAATAAGATAAAAACTAGTTATTCTAACATATCA